AAACTGGAGAGAACATACAGGAGACATTCACTACCACCGAATCCAAACTTCAAATCCATGCCAAACGGAATACACGTGGGTAATCGCGCTAATGGCTGCGCTGCAGGATCTTCCGCAAGTACAAACGAAGGAGCACATGGCCATCCAGTGCAGCGTCATAGTATGCGCCTTGCCCATCAAAGGTCATCAATAGAGATCAGTGACGATGATCGGCCAACAGAGGTTAGATATAGCAACCACGCAAATGGCTACGGCGTCGAGTCTGGTCCAGGGGATAAGCCAGAGTTTGTTCAGGGCATGTGTGACATTGTGGAGATTCGAGTAGACAATCTGCGGCCTGCTGATTATCTTCTGACAAACGACAACTTTGAGGACGAAGAAGCCAGTGGTGATGAAGACTGGAGCGGTCTTGACCCCGAGGACGTGGATGAGTATGCATGGTAACACGGACTCAATTATTCGATGCGTCCGCGATACGTCCGCTTGCGGTGGTCTAAGGGGATCGGCTTTTTTCACAATCTTTTGTATCATATGTCGTTTTTCATGATTTTACTTTGTATCAATATGGGAAATACGATAAAATGATTCAGGGCAATAGACAGGATGGATAAAGGGATTGCTTTCTCCGTCAGGCGCTATATGGGTGGGACCCCTAAAGCTCTTTTTATGTTTAATAAAGCACTGGCGTCTTTGTTCCATGGGATGGGATAAGGACCCTGGGGCGTAGTAACGATATTTTTCGTGTATAACCACATATCCAAAGAACAATGGAGATGGTTTGTTCAAGCCAACTCGCCCTCTTAAGAGTTTTCCAAATCCTATAGAATACCCCAAACACCCAACATCTGTCTATGCAACACCCGTCCAAACAGGGCTGAGTTTTCTTGCCAGTGAATGATAGATTACTCAGTTTCTTGAGAGGCAAAATCAATTCAAGACAATAACTGCTGCTGCTTCTACTTCCACTACTAATTCTTCTACTACTACTACGAGATATATATGTTTGGGGTCTGCGGGTAATATATGTACAAATATGCAACTGGAATGTATATTTTACCCACCGTGGCCCACTCAGAGTAACTAACTTTCGGAGGTTTAACTTAAAAAGGTTGCATCAAATGTATATCCATAGAACATCAGTAGTCACAACTAATTAGCATATAAATGCCAAAGAGAATTGGTTAATCCAGCTCTAGAGAGTTACTGGAGACGGTGACAGCAATGAGGGTAGTATTTAGATGGATAAAATCGATTCATTCCATTCATTCATTCATTCATTCATTCATTTAATTATAGAATCAATAGCCCATATGTACTTCCTGACTTGCAAAGAGCCAGTCAGATAAATATGGCTGCTGCACATCGAAGTTGGTTTAGCCAACCTCTCTGACCTTCGACCCTCAGATAGTTGACTAGCCAATAGTTAACTAGTTAGTTACTGGCTAGCTGGCTGCCTGACTTGAAGTTCTCTCACCACCGAACATTGGGCAGAAAAGGTCTCTCTCCCAACATTTATCATCATCCCCCCACTGCTGCTACTCAGGGACATTCTCTACTGCATCACAGTCTGCCCGCTATTGGATGTGACGGCGATGATCTATCTGACCATCCTGCTCACCAGGATAGATTCCATTCTCTCATTTCGATCCTCTCCTCCGCTTATCGCTGCCCTTCCTGCTATCCTACCCTCTATCCCGAGACTGTCTCCCAGTTCCTAAAGAGGTTGGCCATCTAGCGATTATTTGGAACTTATTGCGCTGTATCTCTTGCCGTCTTTGGTATTTTATCCCACCAGTTTGCCGTGTGGAGAGTTGGAAGTGTTTGTTAAACAGGTGAGGGTTAGAGCCTAAATAGATCCTGATATTTAACCCAATACTCACCGTATGTAATCTGCCTTCTTGCTTCCAAACGGGTTGGCTATGTTAGCTTCCTGAAGCAATCTTGTCTTGGTTTCTCCATACCCAGCAGCGAAACTGACTGCCTAGGTAATTAGGTATAGTGCAAACTTGCATAGCTACCTGCTGGTTACAATTCCAAATCGTACGTTTGTCCTATCTCAAGATATTTATTGTATTACCTTCCCAACCCCTCGATATTCTTTCCTTCCTCATTCTTGGCAACTCTTATATGTCCATCCCAATATGCTGTACTCCGGTGTGCTGTCGGAGAAAAATTTCATGCAGGTATTTTATTGTCGTGGCATGACCCTACTCCATTCTCCATTCTTGCTAGCTAGCTGCTGGTGATCTGGTTTGATTTTGCTGCCCGGGCCCTCCACTGTTGGATTGCAAAGACTGAGTACTACAGGAGACATATTTCATCGACTAGTAGCTTCTTAACGCTACGATTAATTATCGACTTTTTATTGACTTGGGGTCCCAGAACATATAGAGAATACCAGCGAGAACAGCTTTATAGACCCACAGACCTACCTCTGTTCAGATATGAGCGGACAGTCGTCACTCATTCTGACCCCCGCAGATAGCGGCGGGCCATCCTCCCCACCACCCACTCTGCCAGAGGGCTGGTGCGTACAATCTTCTTTCATTATCATCCATGGTCATTTTGTTGGGAGCTCCATGCTAACGGTATCGAATCCATCCTTGCGCAAGTAAAGGCTTGCACAGTGGGACGGTTTCTCCAGAAAATGGTACTATGTACAGCGCCCAACAGGTTCAACACAGTGGGAAATCCCCACAGAGCCTTTTATCCCGACCCCTTCTTCAACTCCCCAGTCTGTAGCGAGCCCGGGACCTTTCCACCCACCTCGAATGGGCAGTTTGCCGGTACAAGATACTTCAGAGGCAACAAGGGAACTGATGAACCTTCGCGGAGGAAATCTGAGGCATTCGGGCGAAAGTTATCCTGTATGTTTTTGAAAATTTACCTTTCCTTTGTTGAGGAAAATGGAGTTGAGGATATCTTAATGACATACGCATACTTTAAAGGATTCGCCATATGACAGTTCACAGACAACACCCCAATCGGGGCAAGAATACCGGCAAACCCCACGTACACAGACGCAGAGCACTCCGGTCGGGGTCACGGCAAATCCGCAATCCCATTCGCCCAGTCAAGGCATCTTGAGCCAAGTTGCTTCGGATGTTGCACACCGCATGGGCGGCCAACCCAGATGTGAAAGCCAGTCGGGTCAATCAGGTCAACAAACGGTAAATATTAAACTTTCTCATTACAAAATCAAATGTACTAATGTTGCCCTAGCCCGAGCAGAGTCAGCTGGGTTATCCCGCTGCTGGTGGTCAACTGAGTTCCCCATACACCACTGGATCAAGCCAGTACCATCAGAGCAATCAAATAGATCAAGGGATGCAAGATGTAATCCCTCATTCTATTTCATCCTACCCCACACAGCAGGATTCTTCATCTGCCTATCGTTCGGACAGGGGTATTCAGTCGCAGCAGCAATACGGTCTAGGCCAAGCGGCCGGAATTCGACCAAACGTAGATAACCAGTATCAATATAATCAGACTCATGACCACAGCAGTGTACAACACTCAAACGACCAGTTATTAATACAGCCCATGCAATCTGTCCATTACTCACAGAGGTCGGTGCAAAACCACCCACCTGAAGATAACCCCATCACAATTATCCACCCCGATCCAAATGCACCACCTCTCTTCCCCATCCCCCACCGAGGCGGCCCACGTCAATCTCACAGCTCACGACGGGGCCGAGCGACACCCCCAAGAAACTACCCCTCAAACGCAGCGTCCCACTACACCGCACACCCTTCTATGGGCCCGTATCCCTCCCACTACCCAGGGCCAGGAGCTGGTCCTGCCCCGAACTCCCATTCGCCATCAGCAGGTATTCCACGCCACCAGCCCCCGTACCCGCTGCAAGACATGTATCATCGGGACATTGGCCCACCGCCGCAAAATCACAATACGTATGGGAGCCAGCCGGGTTATGGCTATGACACTCGAATGAGCATGACTAGTTCAGGGTATCATGGTGATCATTACATGCACCGGCAAGGTAGTGTTGGTGGCGGAACGCGGTATCCCCCACACTACGGCGGTGGGTATGGCCGGTGAGGTGGTCGGGGTTGGAAAGAGGTATTCGGGAGCTATATATTATATAATGCATGCAGCGCAACGCGATGCAAACGCAACATTTTGTTTTATCTTCCTTCGTTTTTTACTTTCTTTATTCCTCGGTTTTCACTTGTTGGTCACGAAATACAAACCCTATTTATTTTGTTTCCACATATGCAATAATCTCCCATCTACATGGCCTTTAATGACTGTATGACATTTTTATTTTTTATTTTTATTTTTTATTTTTTTTGTTTGGTAATTATGCTGTTGTTTTCTTTTAGTTTCGTCCTTTTTCATCTATCAAGAATGGTTTGTCAGAGACGATGGTTTGGTGATGACTGCACTTTTCCTCTCGGATAAAATGGTATGAACACTCTCAAACCGTTTTAACTACAGAAATATAACAACTTGAATCCAAAGCCCTTATCTTATCATCTTACAGTACGGCTGAATTCTAGCCTTTGCAGCGTATATTACTTCTGCTATGAGATCTGTGCGGATGATAATATCGTTCACACATTACCCGTACAACTGCCACAGTAAGGAGCATCTTTTCGCACCTAGAGCGGAATCTCGTGGACGAATATAGATCGCGAGGTATCAAAGTCATATTGTTATCTTAACCAAGTCTCAGGCTTCAGCTCACTATTAATAGTTCAACCGTTAACTTAAGACTTCAGGCATCGTTATCTTAAGTTTCAGATATTTTCAGGCCTGAACATGTCTTTCATTCCGGGCATGATCTTCCAAACAACTTTTGGTGGCCACTTGCCTGGGAGATCCAAAAGGCGGTGAGTGCCAGAACTGCCCTTCGAAAACATTCTGCCGGGGAAAAAATATCAGATTTAAAACTTTCGAATCCCACTCATTACTTTTTATATCTACCTCAATCCCTTTCTTTCATTTAATTTATAGGCCCTATCATTTACCTAGCAATGGCATCCGTACATAAATCCCTCTCAAAAAGGAATAGGAAAAAAAATCAGCCATCTGTCAGAGAGAATGCGGAGGATACAGATGTCTCCATGAACGATCTGCTAGATGACCCGGACGAGACAAGTGATAGCGATAATTACGAGCAAGAAGAGAAGGGACAAGATAAGCAAGAAAATACCGCGGATGGTGAGGTAACGAATAATATTTCGCAAACGCAATCCTTAGGATACATGCGGAAGACTCGTGTGCTGATGTTGACATCGAGGGGGGTTACACATCGGTATGTGCAAATTTATCTCGATATTTATGTCTAATAATATTCGAAATTTCCTTGTCTCTGTCATGCGACTGGAGATATGCCCAAATTAAGACACCAAATGCGTGGCGCAAATAATACACAATACCTATATATCTAATCTAGATATATGCCACAGACACCGCCATCTCCTCTCCGACCTCACCTCCCTCCTCCCTCATACACACAAGGAAAACAAACTCGACACCAAAAAGAAAACCGCTGGCTATAACTTCCTCCTTAATTCCCTCGCTGATCTACACTCGTGCAACATGATCTTCTTCCTAGAAGCCAAAAAGCGCGGACAGGATTTATACCTCTGGCTCTCACGGCCGCCCAACGGCCCCACAATAAAATTCTCCGTAAGCAGCTTACACACGATGGGCGAAATGGGTGTAGGCTTTGCGGGCAACTGTCTCAAGGGTGGGCGCGGGGTGGTTGTGTTCGACAAATCATTCGACGAGCCAACGGTGATGCGGAGCGGGAATGAGTATAGAGGGCTGGTGAGAGAGATGTTGAGGGGTGTATTTAGCGTTCCGAAGCGCGGAGTACGGGGGATGAAACCCTTTGTCGACCGGATTATTGGCGTGTTTGGGGTCGACGGGAAGATATGGATCCGGGTATTTGAGATTCGAGAGTCGGAGGGAACAGTAGGCGCAAAAGCGAAGGATGAAGGCGAGGCCACTGATGCTAACGATGACGAAAAGAAGTCGAAAACGAAACTCAAGCGGGCTGACAAGGGTGGTCCGCTGGATATTAGTCTCGTGGAGATAGGCCCGCGCTTCGTGCTGACGCCCATCGTGATATTGGAAGGAAGCTTTGGCGGGCCTGTCATATATGAGAACAAGGAGTTTGTTAGTCCTAATCAAGTCCGGAGAGAGATACGGTTACGGAAGGCGTCGCGGTTTGCGGCAAGGCATGTTGGGCAGAGCGACCGGATGGTCAAGAGGAGTGGATTGGGGTTGACAACGGAGGGGAAGGGGAATAGGAGATCAGATCCGTTGGAGACGAAGGCTGTGTTTGGATGATTGTTAGGCGGTAGAGGAGTGCAAATATTTTGGTTCTTTAGTCTCTCTCTCTCTCTCTTTTTTTTATGTTCTTTTAGATCTGGTACTAGGATAATGGGAATGGGAATGGAAATGGAAATGTATTTTCTCGCGGATGTTCTATTTATTTAATCCTACAAGTTCCAATGACTTGTGAGCACCCAACAATAAACTTAATGACCTTTGATGAATTCCTGACAGCAGAATATAGAGACTGTTGTGTTGTATGTCTATGCATCTACAATTACAATATCTCTCATTTTGCATTGAAGTTTCGTCGTTATTATATTATGTGCATTTCGGTGTCTCCCAAGGAGGTGTGTGGGGTGGAATTTATTCCTGAACGTGGAGGCTGTTGTCGTTTCAACAATACCACCAAATAAAAAAGAACACAATGTAGCAGCCTGACATTCTGTAAAGATCTATCATCCATTGAAAAGTTGATAAATTGGCAAATGGCTGTTCAATTGACGGGTTTATCAGCTGCTAACGCCACACTGCATTTGAAAAGGAAGACACTGACCCTCTCCGTTATTATTGCCCAAAGTCTACCAACCTTAGCGCAAGGGGTAAGGCAAAATCATCGCGCAACAACTGTTTTCTAATTCTGCTCTACTTCCATCTGTATTCCAATACCTAGTCGCTCCCCGTCTTCAGATCCCAAAACCTGCCTTTCCACCAAAATCCACCCACCTTAATCACCGCTCACACGCAGATCCCGCCGCAATCCGCCCCACCCTTCTTGGGATCACAGTCATCAGTCGGGTTATCGTAACATGTCTTCCCCCGCGGGCACGGAATACCCGCAATGCCGCCGCAGAACTCAGACCTGACACAAATTCCCGGTCTATCGCACGCCATGCCGCAACCAGGTACGCGCGGGTCATCAATGCAAATGTAGCCGAGAGGGCAAGGCTTGGGTCTCACGACATGACCGCCGCAGGATTGGTACCGACGGCCAACATTCGTTGCTGGCGCAGGGGTTGCGGATACGGTTGCGGATGCGGTGAGGAGGGCGAGGAGAGCGAGGGAAGCCGTTTTAAGGAAGGGGGCCATGTTTGTGATACCGTTGATCGGTCGCAAATATAATCTATGGAATTGCTGGAGGTATAACTTGATATTGATGCCAAATCTAAAGAAGAGCAATAGAGACTGAATTTTAAACGATGTGTATATCTTGTCTGTTTCAAGGGTGAGCCAGGCAAAGCAAAGCAACGAAATGATTAGAGGGATGCCACAGGTATTTATAGCTGCATCTAAGGGGTCAAGATACGACATTTGCTTTACCAGAACATTGGATCGGGGTTCGATTCAACCATCCATCCAGTGATAGACTGAATATAAATACGGGCTGCTTCATGGTTTTGCGGCTGTTAAACAAACTTAGCCATCTGGCAAACAGGATTGGGGCTCGCCATTCCTAAAAAGACCGGCAGGCTGTCGATATACGACGCGGCTGGTTGAAGATGTCCCAATTGGGTCAGTGCTGAGTAGCTGACAGAGGCAATCCATGACAGTCAAATCAAATCAAATCACATCGGGAACCAGCAGCAGTAAGCACCACGAGGCGGTGGCTGGACTCTGGAGACAGCAGATTGAGACATGTAAACCTGGTTCGTATATACCATTCGATCTGCCTTGTCTGGGGAAGTGAAAAATCAGTTGAAAGCTTGAAGCTGATCTGTGAATATAAAAATAGAATACGAGCGGAATGCAGGCGTCATTTCAAGATTCGTCCAATCAGATATAAGTTGAAAACGTGAAAGAATTGATTCTCGCGGCGTTCACCAGTTTGTTTCAGCCAATTTTCAACTGGAATAGGGCCATTGCAGTCTCATAAGGTTAGGAAATAGCATAACAACATACGGAATGAAGCAGTGATGATGTTGATGCTGATTAGAGATGAGGACTTGGTGAAGGGATGTAATAAAGCATGAAGCTTCCAATTTTTAAAGCGGTGTCCATCATTCAGATTTCTGAATCTCGTATTTATATAGTTCAGGAGTCAGCCACATTAGGAGTTATGCACATAGACGGCAACAGTGGGCCGATCAGTAATTTCCATGAATATACCTGAAGGATACTTACAGTGGCGATTGTACCGGTTACCAGTACATGATTGAGTGATTCCTGAAGTTGAGGTCTGCCTCTCATAAGGGCGCTGTGCATCTGGGCTATTCGTACTGCTGCTTCCACCTCGAACACTTAGCTAATAACTAGCTAGTTAGTTAACTATTAGTGAGTGTGAAACACGGGAACAATAAAAACAGCGGAATGATATAAAATAATGTAGAATCACACCCACTATCTTCATTAGTAAATGATTAATGTTGCAAAAGAATATTGCAAAATAAATTGAAAATGTCATTGCCACATATAACAGCCTTTTATTATGAAAATATAATATCTTATATTTATAGCTTTATATGCAGATTAATGAGAAAAACTAAAATTTGCAATTATTTCTAATAATATAAGTTTGAATAAGAGTTAAAAGAATATGAATGATAATTTAACTGTAAAAAAAAAAAAAAATTTATTATATAATTAATTTATTAACTAACATAATCCATCTCTGAGTGAACTATACCCTTGAGTAAATCATCAAAATCATTATATTTCAATTAACTAGAATTTAATCTAAAATATCTATATCAATAATACTTTATTAATTAAATTAATTTATACTAGAATTAGAACATCTTGTTCCTTTATGATCAGGCAAATTGCAATTACTGTACTATTGTGAAACTTCTGAATATTATCAATGTTCTGCAGATAAAAATATAGAAGTTTGAATGACTAATTGTTTAATGAGTGTAGCAGCTGAAATAGCAAACTGAGTAACTTTCTGTCTGATTAAATCTTCTTTTTATTGAATTCTTCAAGTAGACCTCTTATATTTTTACTTTTTTTTCTTATTTGCATTAAATATTTTCTGATATTGCTTTTTCATAATAGTGATGTTGACTATCTCATATTTATAGGTTTTGTAATTTGATCAAGGTCTTTCACTAAACTTTGAGACTACTAACTATTTATAAAGCTTTTGATCTTCCACTAAACTTTGAGACTACTGACTATTTATAAAGCTTTTGATCTTCTTAATTTGTTATTACAATTCTCATGAGTTACTAGATATTTGAAGTACTAAGAATAAGATTGAATTGCTTGATTTGCTGACTGAGAGAATAGAGATTCAGAGTTGAATATCTAGCTACTAAATGATTTGATCTGATTCAAATGATACTATATCAGTAGCTCTGAAGTTACTTTAAATATTTTAAACTTTAAAAGTTTTCATATACACTGCAAAGTAAGTATTTAGAAAATCTACCTTTTTAATGATATTGAATTTAAGTCACATTCACTATTCAATAAAATTGTCATATATATGTTTCAAAACTGCAAAAACACTTACATCTAATGACTGCAAAAAATATAAGAAATGTGCTAACATGCAGAGAGGAATAATTTTATTCTTTTTACAGATATAGTCAAATTCTGAGATAAAATAACTGTCATACTCATTCAGAATAAGAAGATGATAAATATCAATTTTGTGTGGATTTGCAGCAGGAATAAATAGTCTAGCAAGTCATTTAACCTCTATCTCAGCTGTAATCTAGTCATTAGAGCTAACATCAAGTCTTCAGTCATCTGAAAGCTCATCAAATCAGTATTCCTGTAGCTTCTAACCCTTAAAAATCACATATGAAGATAAGGTTCAATCTGATGTGTTGACTGTCTCAATCACAATCACTCATTTCTGATTTTCAGGTTGTAGATGTGATGGTGTAGAATGAGCTCCGTAGCCTTCTCAACAGCATATGGCCGAGGTGAATGGTAATTGCAACTGCTGAGGCGAATGGTAATCACAAACTGCCTAGACATTGGCATAAGAACCAACCCCACACATGAATAACATGTAAACGTGGCAATCACATGGCAACTGCGCTAAGGAAAGCGCTAAGAAAAGGGCTATATAAACAGAGCCTTCCTCGAACCCATCTTTTAAGAACCATCTTAGTATACGTCTAGATAGCTTATCTAGCTAGCAATTGAACATCTGTTTCACCTGCGCCTAGATTGAAGTCTTGACAGTAGAAGCTTTGCCTGATCATAGCACTCACTACTTGTAATAATTTTAGTAGTGATACAGAGTCTCATTGCAAACTCAGTCTCATCAAAGTTGTATATATCTTCAGACACAATTTTATACTTAGCAATTGTATTCTTCAAGGTTTTAAATCAAGTCTGAATAACTCATATATCTTCACATTTAACTTACTCATGATTATAGTGTCTAAAATAGTGACAATGAAGCTCTGTACAGTGTTTAATCAGCTTGTAGATTCAATTCTTATCAATTTAAAAGATAAAGATTGAGATAAAGATTGTGTGAAGACGTTAAGGTGAATGAACTAAGTGTCAAAAAAAAGTGTGAGAAGCTCTACAACTAAGATCATAAGAGAGTAAGTGTATAGATACTACAAGTGATATAAAGAAAAAAGAATAATGATGAATGAAATGTATATGTAGAATTGAATAATAGCTAATCACTGAATCTCTCAAAGTAACTTTGAGAATTCAGAGTATTTATGTCACGGCTTCAGCTAGGTGCAGGTGAACCAATGTTCAATTGCCAACTAGTTAAGCTATCTGAGCAAATACTAAGATGATTTCTAAAAGATGGGTTCGGGGAAGGCTCTGTTTATATAGCCCTTTTTCTCTAGTGCTGTTGCCATGTGATTGCCACATTTATGTGTTATTCATACACAGGGTAATTGTGGGGTTATTTGCCATTGCCTAGGCAATTGTTGTTTACCAATCACCTTGACTCATATGATGGCCGATCATCTCAGTCTGTATGATGACTAATCACCTCAGCAAGATTGGATGTAAGCCTGTTCTACACCATCACATTACCTCTCCTTAAAGTCTAGGCATGTCCTCATGCTGGTAGGTTATCATCTGCTTCA